ATCTTTGAAATGTGCTGTTTCCCCATCCAGTGACATATTTTAAGGCAGGTGCTGAACAACAATGGGAAGGACATGCGGGGCAGAGCACAGCCCTATCTTGCAGCTCCCATCAGAGCTCTAAACAGCCTTCCCTGGGACTAAGAATAGAGTTTTCTCCCACACAGAATGCTGCACAAATTTTCAAGAGTTTGATTCACAGTACTCTTTGAAGCAGGAAGGAACTGGGACCCTCCCTAGCCTATGCGTAGAGTGTGCACAGGAGAGTTGTCTGGATGATGCTGTTCACTGCAGCTGGGGGAAATTGCCCTGGCCCCAGGCAACAGATCTGCAGGGCTAAGGATGACCAACTCATGCCAAAACAAGGTTTTCCCTGGGCCAACCAGTGCACTGGGCATCTCCGCTGCAATCCAGTGACTCCCGAAGCCAGTAACAGCACTGGGAATGGGCATTTGGAAACCTGGGTGGCCAGTCAGGTGACGGGCAGCACTGCCTGACACAGCTGTGCTAGGTATGTCCCTCTGGAGCTAAACCTCCAGCGGATCCCACTCATTGCCTTCATCAGGTCTGGCAGCAAGGATGTCACACAGAATCACAGTAACACACTTGGTTTACTCAAACTAAATCGTTTAGCTTCCCTTCAAGAAATGACTGAAAATGCACCAGTCTGGAAAAATCAAGGCTGGGAGCATTGCTCTGCGTTTTGTATAAATAAAGTGATCCTTTACAAGACATTGTGGTAATGCCCGTGGGTGGGTCTGCTATGGCAGAGATGTGGACTCTCATGAACACAAGTTTTGTTCCTGGAATAGAAAAATTGCAAATAAATGATGCATGTGCATGACTTTCTGTTTGTATTGCACTGAAGGAAAGGGGATGGAAGCAGCAACCTAGATGTACAGAGTTGCCTCAGTAAACCCAGGGCACAATCCACCACATGATTCCATCACCCAATTGTGAAAGCTCAGCAACTTGGTTCCTGCTTGCTGCTGCTGTTGGTTGACAATTTTGAGGTGTCTCTATCTGTGCCAGCCATCTCTGCCTCTTTTAGCTTCTGTCCCAGGGTGTAGATCAGACTACGTGTTTACAAAAAGTTCCATCATGATTTCAGGACCAGTGGCAGCCTCTCATGTACTGGAAATAATTCTTCAAGTTTGGCCATAAGAAACCTGATACAATGTGCTTGAGAGGAAATGAGATTGTCTGATATGAATGCAGGAAACTCATTTTGTCTGTGCCAGACTCAGCTGCTACAGAAGCACATATTTTTGAGGTAAAAAGATATGAGTTGGAGTCTTAGAAGGCACAGTCACATCCCCAAGTTCACTTTCTGCTTTGCTTCCCTCATTCTACTAAGCTGCAGAATGGATTCTGAGTGTTCAAACACATAGGGTGTGAACTGCAGCAAAAATCTTTAAAAATTTCAGTTAACTGAGGTGTGAAAAGACAAGGAAAGTTTTTTGGCAAAATGCACCTCTAAATATGTATTTAAAGCAACAAAGAAACCAGGAAGAAGAAAAAGATGAAGACAAAAAGCAAGACGAAGAGGAAGAGGAAGAAGAGGAAGAGGAAGAAAGAGAAGAAGAAAGAAGAAGAAGAAGAAGAAGAAGAAGAAGAAGAAGAAGAAGAAGAAGAAGAAGAAGAAGAAGAAGAAGAAGAAGAAAAAACAAAAAATAATGTCAATTTGTGGGGTTTTGTCTCCAATGCCTCAGCCTCATTTAGAAAGGAATGGATCAAAATTTGCAGAATGGAAGGCTCACTGTGGAAAATGGACTTTGCACCAAGGCACTGATGGTGTGTCTGGCCCATTAAGAATGTCCAATCCATGGCAGAGCGTGGAGCCTGATGGAGGCTGAGGCCAGGACCCAGGAGTTGAGGCCCCTGGGGCTGAGGTGGCAGTCTTTGCTGCACCCTGGTAGCTCTGCCTTATTGGGCCTGCAGGGCTGCAGCATGGATGCGGTGGTGGAAATGTGTGTAAGGCAGGAGGTGCAGGGCTCCTCTGCATGCTGCACACTCCCTGCTTGGCCTGAGCACAGGAAGATTCAAGTCCTCCTTGCTGGAAAAAGAGACTCTGAAGAAGATTCTGGGTGTCCTCTACGAGACACAGATGAACACAGTGACTTCTCAGGTAGGGAGGGCAGGACACACACCACAGCGGGATTCGCATGGCTTCATATCTTGGGGTTTAAAAGTTAGTCATGAATGATGTGTTGCCTTTCTGAATAAAAAGACTCCTTATTTTATGTAACTATAAAGTGAAGCTTGAATGTTCTTCTATATGCATATCCTACATTACATATAAAAGAATACTAAGTCATCCATTTCCACTTACCTATTCAAGAAAATACCAACTATTTATTCTTAAGTGAATTGAACAGAAGTAATACTGAATGGAGCACTATAAATAATGCAGTGGAAAATAAAATGGAAAAACCACAAAGGCATCCCTCCCAAGATGACAGGTCTGTCATTGACCAGCTCCTCTCTCCTGTCCTCACCTGCTGTGCAGGCCTGTGTCTCTTCACTGCTGGGTGGAGAGAGAGCCAGAACACAAGCTCTCATCCATCTCAGGAAAGATCAGGGACATGGCCTAGGACATGGCCTTCTTTCAGCATTTTCAGTGGCTGTAATTTATAATTAACTCAGCATCTGTGCTGTGGTAAGTTCATGGTTTCTAACAGTCCACACCTTAACTGATTAAGAAGAGAATATGGTGTCGGTCAATGTCATTTTTATAATGACCCCTAGAAGTGAAATTTCCAGGTTAAATTTATATAAGATGAACTTGAGGGTCACAGATTTTACACTTGAAGCCTCAGCATAGAGTTAGAGCCTGGTAGAGGAAGACTGTGTCTGCTCAGATCCATGTGGAGATCTAAAGTCAGAGAGATGGTCCAGGCAGAGGTGCAGGACACAATGGCACCTAGCAGGAACCATGGATAAAAAAGGCCCAGGTCAAGGCCACCTCATCCTTGAGTAAGTTCTCAGGAAAGCATCACACACTGCATTCTGGACAGCAGAGTGCTGGAATGTTTCCAGAGCTCCTCCCTACATGCCTGAGGCCCCCTCTCTCACTCAGGACAGCTCTGTATGAGAAGGTCAGTCTGTTACAGAGCCCAACCTGACTGAATGTTTTCCACCCAGATGAAGATCTGAACTGCCACATGTGGACTCACCATAGCTATGGAGCAGGACAGATGTTTACAGGGAGCAGGTCAGGAGATGGGGACACTGCAGGCAGGTCAGGCTATGAATCCTTAAATAAGAGACCAGGCACTCACCAGGCCCAGTTTCCTCCAGCCGTAACCACATCCTGCAAGAATGTGTATTAAATGTGAGTAACTGAAAGGAGTTACTCACACAATTATATATTATAGAGATAGTTTGAAGATACAAAATAAATGGTAGCATCCGTAAGTAAAATGAGATGTGACCATTAATGGATATGTGGTGTCCATTGATGTCCCCAAACCACATGCATCAGAAGGAAATAGTCTGATGAACAGAGCAATAAGGAGCACAGGCAATGGGTAAACATCACAGCTGCTTAATAACAACAACAAAGCTGGGATACAGTACGTGCACTGGTGAATTTTATCCAGTATATAATAAAGAATACTGATTGTTTTTCAATTCTTCAATCAAGTTGAAGGAAAAACCACCACCAACTTCTTTTATGTGACAAAATAATTCTGAGAATGAAGCCAGATAATAATGTGTTAAGAATAATATAAATGAAAACACTCTGTTGGCTAATATTCCTACCAAACATACAGAAACGTGTTCAGCTTTATGTTTGCCACGTTAACTCACCAGCATATTCAAAATTAACCAACATGATCAATACTGGGCTCAATCTCAGTGGTGTAAGAATGGTCCCTCTCTCACAAACCATCTGTTTCCACTGGTTTTAACATGTTGTATCTTACTATATTTTACTATATGTGATAGTATAAAGAAAAATTTTTATAGGCAAGGAGATAATATAGAAACCATTGTTTGTTTTCTGTTAACTGGTTCTAAATACCCTGTAATTCTTTCATTCTCTTGAATGGCTTCACACTGTCTTGATATGCTTGATGCTATAGTATACAAAGTTATACTCAAATAATTCAAGGAATGAGGCACTATGGTGACTACTATTATGTTAGATTATCTGGGAGTGAAATACAATGATGCTTAAATTGTTCCATTCTGACAAGTGTTGTTCTATTACAATGTCCTCTTTTATCTCAATCTCCATCCTTTTTTAAAAATTAAACTATTTTTTTTTCAATTAAGGGAAAACTAAATTAAAAAATATTGGCATATATTATAGTAACTATTTTTTTTCCTATTAACCTGATTTGAACCCCAGTATTGCTCTCCCCATCTTGTTCTGTCTGATTTTACTATATTCTATGTGTTTGATAGTATCAAGTTTGAGGGTATAGGCAACCACTTTGAAGGCAATAAGATTTACTATGATACCATTATAGTTTCACTATTATCTTCTTTTGAGATATTGTAAGGTCTCCAGTGTAGGTTTTATTGGTCTTGTTCTGTACTGTTTTGATCCATTCTATTATAGGCAACTCTCTTTAAAAATAGCAAGAGGAACAATGGTAACTATTTTTGATCATCTGATACTCTATTTTTGCATCATGTCCTATGCCCACCCTTCTGTTCTAACTGACTCTGTTTTATTTAGTCATGTTAGGATTTATTCTCTTCAAAAAAATGTAATAAGAACTGTGGGAGTAAAAAAACTCAAAAAGTGTAATTGTTATTGTAATAAACAGGAAAGGAAGGTGGTGTAAGGGATATAACTGCATGCTTGAGTGTGTAGGATGGAAAACCATATTACTGAGCTTTTGTTGGATCATTGAACAGAACTTTCTGCAATCTCACTGTATGAATGTCCACTTTATATGCTTTAATTTTATAATTTGGAAAACTGTTTCTAAGGTGACAAGATGTAACCTATTAACTAGTGATTTCTTATTGAATTTTTTCTTGAAATTCTGTATTACTTGTACCCTTTTACTGCTTTGTTTTTTATTTCCTATCTTTGTTCTCTTTAATTAAAAAATAATCAAACCTGGAATGGATATCTTTTATTTATTTATTGATTGATTGATTGATTGTTCACTGGAGATCCAGCTCATGACCTCACACATGCCAGGCAGGTGCTTAAGCCACTGAGTTAAATCCCCAGCCCACCAATGGATATCTTTTACATCTTGTCATCTTCTGAGAAGTTGCCTCTTCTCTTGAACTTGATACTAGCAAGCATACCCACAGTGAATAAAATCAGTCAAGGCCAAATAACATTCAAACAAACCAGCTTCAAAGAAGATCAGTCATAGAAGACAATGTAAGTAATATAGGGTTTCAGTTTTAGTTAATAGGAAATTAAGGATAGTTACCATGGTATAACCTGCTATTTTTGGGTTATCTCTGTGTGCCCTCAAATCTAATATGAGTAGACAGACAAGAACAAAATATAACCAAACTAAATAGAGCAACAAGACTACTGTAGATTTTAAATCCTGATACACTTTTAACAATGTCCTCTGCCTTCTATTTTTAGGCAATTCCTCACCTTTCTCCTTCTCAGGATACTATTATTCACTGTTCAGAGTGATATTAGTCTAGTCTCTTATGTTACACTGCATTTTAAAAGCTTTCCCACATTATTTACATGCGTAAGAGTTTGTCTCCAGTGTGAATTCTTTCATGTTTCTTACAACCTCCCCATGTGCTAAAAGCTTTCCCACATTGCTTACATACATAGGGTTTCTCTCCAGTGTGAATTCTTTCATGTTTCTTACAATTTCCCCATGTGCTAAAAGCTTTCCCACATTGCTTACATACATATGGTTTCTCTCCAGTGTGAATTCTTTCATGTTTCTTACAATATCCATGTTTGGTAAAAGCTTTCCCACATTGCTTACATACATATGGTTTCTCTCCAGTGTGAATGCGTTCATGTTGCTTACAATGTCCAGAACTAGTGAATCCTTTTCCACATTGCTGACATACATAGGGTTTCTCTCCAGTGTGAATTCTTTCATGACCCTTACAGTTTGCACGTGTGTTAAAAGCTTTGCCACATTGCTTACAAACATATGGTTTCTCTCCAGTGTGAATTCTTTCATGTCTCTTACAAACTCCCCGTCTGTTAAAAGCTTTCCCACATTGCTTACATACATATGGTTTCTCTCCAGTGTGAATGATTTCATGTATCTTACAATCTCCCCGTGTGCTAAATGCTTTTCCACATTGCTTACATACATATGGTTTCTCTCCAGTGTGAATTCTTTCATGTCTCTTACAAACTCCCCGTCTGTTAAAAGCTTTCCCACATTCCTTACAAACATATGGTTTCTCTCCAGTGTGAATTCTTTCATGACCCTTACAGTTTGCACGTGTGTTAAAAGCTTTGCCACATTGCTTACATACATATGGTTTCTCTCCAGTGTGAATTCTTTCATGCTGCTTACAATCTCCCTGTGTTTTTAAAGCTTTCCCACATTGCTTACATACATATGGTTTCTCTCCACTGTGAATTCTTTCATGTTTCTTACAGTCTCCCCATGTGTTAAAAGCTTTCCCACATTGCTTACAAACATATGGTTTCTCTCCAGTGTGAATTCTTTCATGTCTCTTACAAACTCCCCGTCTGTTAAAAGCTTTCCCACATTGCTTACATACATACGGTTTCTCTCCAGTGTGAATTCTTTCATGTCTCTTACAGTCTCCCCATGTGTTAAAAGCTTTCCCACATTGCTTACAAACATATGGTTTCTCTCCAGTGTGAATTCTTTCATGTTTCTTACAATATCCATGTGTGGTAAAAGGTTTCCCACATTGCTTACATACATATGGTTTCTCTCCCGTGTGAATTCTTTCATGTTCCTTACAACGTCCAAGTTGGGTGAAACATTTTCCACATTGCTTACACACATAGGGTTTCTCTGCATTGTGAACATTTTCATGTATTTGAAAATGAATTTTACTGCTAAAAGCTTTCCTACATTTCTTACATATATGCGATTTCTGCCCAGTGTGAAGTTTTTCATGGATTACACAATAAGTGTGTGTGCTGAAAGCTTTCTCACAGTGCTCACATTCATAACGTTTTTCTCCAGAGTGAAGTCTTTCATGTACTTGACAATATGTATGTGTTGTAAAAGCTTTCCCACATTGATTATATATGTAGGGTCTTTCTCCTCTGTGAATTCTTTCATGTTTCTTGCAAATTCCAAGTGTGGTTAAACCTTTCCCGCATTGCTTGCATACATAGGGTTTCCCTCCACTGCAATATTTTTCATGGATCTGAACATTGTCATGTGTTTCTGTTTCTTTCGCATTCACATTACCTTCTTCAGTACCAAGGAAGACTTCTTTACACTGATTCCATACATCTCCAGATGTATGTCCATAGGATTTCCCTAGCTTGTCATTTCTGTAAAGAAAAAAATCACATATAAGATTTATAACCATATTACTAAGTTTTTGCAGTCTCGCTGTTTGAATCCCCACTTCATATGTTTCACTTTTGTATTTCATATCTATTTCCATGAGCACCATATGTAATCATCATCTTGCGATTTCTGTTTACTTTCACTTTGAAATTAGCATTATCTCTACTTATTTTGTTTTGTTTAATCTTTCCTTATATAAATTTAAAAAAGAAAAATTCACAGTGAAATGGGTCTCTGTTTAATGACTGCATTAATGTCAAGTTCTGTTTTTAATGCCTGCTAAGAAATTCTGACCATGAAGCAACAGAATGGCCTTGTAAGATATGTTGAAAACAACCATTCCCAAAAGACTGGCATACATTTAGAAATCTTAAAATTTGGTACTTTGAAATGCAGAATCTTTAGCTTCACTTTGGGCATGGGCACATATGTGTATCACATACAGATTATTCTGATATGTTTCCCCATTCCAATCTCCCTTCTATCCTTAACCTGTAGTTCCCTTTTCCATATTGTCAGTCTTACTTTTCTCTATCAACTTTCTTTCATTACATTCCACAATTTATATTTTGGTGTCTCATCTAAAAGAAACCCTGTGACCTTTTATGTTTTATAGCTGAGCTATTTCACTGAATTGATGGGTGAAAGACCCATCTATTTCTTATGGCAAATGACATTATATTATTTATTTTTTGACATTATATAACACATATTTTCATTTCTGGGCTGGGAATGAACAACAGGTATTAGCATAAAATCTGTAGCTTTTTAAAAATCTATTTTAAGATATTTTCGCTGATCATTAAGCTGTGAAGTTTGAACTTGAATTTGCCATTCTGCAAAATCTGATTCCTAGTGTGCTGGGTTTACAGAAATGCACAATCACAGAGAGTCTATTAACATTTTCCTTCTCCACAAATCCAGTGATAGATAGATAAGCTTCAAGGCCTGATCTGTTATAACTTAATCTGCTTTGTATATGAGTAAGCATGTATCAGTATTTTATGCAGATTTGAGATTTTAAAAATATCCAGGACAAGTGTGAGGGGATCAATTTCTAGAGACAACTGTATACTGATATTCAAAATGAGTGCAATAACATTCTACCAGCCTACTAAGAATATTAATCAGAATGGCTGATTCTCTAGAGAATGTCTTGGAAACATGAGCACTCAGTTTTATTTCAAATTCTATTGCAATCTTAGCAATTGTTAGATAATGAATGTGTTATATTCACATGTAGACATGGGTAGAAAAACTGAAGGCAACTCAAAGTGTATCCTTTTTGTATTCATCTATATGCAATGTCATACATTTTCATGATTTAATTCGCTCATATATACACTAGCTTATACATCTTCAGAGAATATTACTGACATTAAATTGAATGGTGTCTCTTTCTTTGGTTGTCATTTTTCTGCTACTCACTAATTACTGAGGAACATTCCTCTCCTTGTGAGTGCGAATTACCTTAAGTAGCTCCAGTAAATTTTGCCTTCTTTTTCAGCTTCCTGGATATCCCAGTGTCTTCCTGAATTGTAGACATAGAAATACCAGGACTCTTTAGAGTAATACATACAAATTAATAGGTTTTTTTTAGAGTTATGATATAATGTGTCCAGGTCTGAGATATTTTAAAAAATATTTTCATATTCTTTTTCATGAAACAGCACTAATGAGCAAGAAACAATATTCTGACAGCATGAGGGGCAAAAAGATTTTATCCTTACCTATCAGAGTCATGTTCCTAAAGGTTTCGCCCATCACATCTCTGTAGAGCTTCTTTTGGGATGGACTCAGCAAAGTCCACTCCTCATTGCTGAAGTTCACGACCACATCCTCAAAGGTCACCACCTCCTAAAGGATCATACATATATTTCTCAATGGAAGGTTGAGACCCCAGGTTTGGGATATCTTAAATTTTCTCCTAGAAATCTGAATCAAAAGCAAAGTGTGGTGGTGCATATCTATAATCCCAGCACTCAAAAGGCTGAGACAGGATGGCATCAGTGTGGTCAGGGCAAGTCTAGGCTCCATAGGGTGTTCAAATCCACCTGATATACATACAGAAAGCTTGTCTCAATAAAACAAAACTAAACTAAACAAATACAACCAAACAAAACAGCTGAATGAAGACTGATTTCTTCCAATTTTAATACATGTCTTGGTCATTAATTTTGTGTATATACACATTATTGAAGACAGCAAATTTGATGCTAGATTGCAACTCACTGCTAATGTAACAGCCAAATAGGAGCACTGATTCTTGTGCTGAATCTTGGCAAGATTCCCCTTGCACTGTCTCTAAAGCAGAGCTCACAGTGAGAAGCCGGCAGGACCAGCAACCACAAAGCACAGAGGCAGATAAATATCCCATCAATTGACTGGAAAGTCAAGCAAGCACCTCCCCTCCCGGTCAGCAGTGGTGGTTTGGCAAATTTCAGCCCTTCCAGGGGGAAAACCAGCAGCAGCTCCTGAGATCCATGCCAACCTGGAATTTAGGACACTGGGAAGCCAGTCAAGCACCACTTCTCCCTGGTAAGTGGTGGCAGTCTGTCAGACTGCAGCCCTTCCAGGGGGAGAACCAGCAGCAGCTCCTGAGATCCATGCTATGTTGAAACTTAGGATGCTGTGAAACCAAACAAGAGCCTGTCTCCCTAGTAAGCAATAGTGACATACTGATGCACCACCTAGAATCAAACATCCCACTTCCCTACCCCTCTTCTCCTGTCACCCCATATTAGCAAATGGGAACTGGAAATCTGAGCATCTCTTGGCAAGTTGACCATAGCAAATAAGGGGACTTCCTTCTACTATTACTTTTAAGGAAAATGTTTTTATTATTGTTTCAGTCTATTCTGATTAATGGTACTGCTCTATTCAATATTCTGTTTTGATAAGTTCTATAATGTTCTGTATTTCATCTCATTTTAATATATGTGATTAAAGAAAAACTATTACAAAGATAAAAAATATACTGTGATACCTATTACTGTTATCCCAGTAACCTGTTGTGAAGTTGTGTACCAATTTCACTGTGTGATCTTAGTTGGCCTTATGCTGCCTTGCTCTGTTGTATTTTACCAATTTCAAAATTAAATAAAAAAATCTCATCAATCACTTTGATAGACTACAGATGATGTCTCTTCAAATCTCATTTAGGCCAATGAGTACTTTGTTCTTAATATACTTAAGCAGCATTTTGAAACATTAATTTGGTTTCATAGAACAAAACATAAATAACATCAAATATGGTACATAAATAATAATAACAAGTGTTATAGTGGAAAACAGCTGTATTTTTAATAATACGTATATAAAAATAAACCAGGCCCAAGCTGTAAATTATACCTCACTGTCACCAAGTGATCACTTTCAATTCAAATATAAGAAATATATCCTGGGAGGCTGGTGAAGGAGTTCTTCCTTGAATTTGGGGCTATCCTAAGTTACAGAGCCATCTAAAATAGACAATCCCTGACTGAGATACCGAACAAACAAAGTGAAACTTAAAAAGAGACTGCATAAAACATCTTTGGTTTGTTTTAAAACATTATAGGCGTACAATACAGAAAAATTCAACAATACTCAACACTTTCTGAGAAACAATATGGATATCTTCCATACTACACAGAAAACACTTTCATAGTTGGGTATTTAATTCTGTAGCATGAATGCCTGCCAGGAAAGCATAGGTCATGAGTTTGATCCTTGGTACAAAAAAAATTCAAATTTCACTTTCATGACACTGGGGCATAATTAGAGATAATCAAAATTAGATCTCAAGTACAGAACACAAAAATAATGGGTTGACAGGGATGTGGAATACTGATTGTTGCCAGAGCTGGTGTTGATCACCTCAATGAAGCAATCAGAACCCAACTTTACTTCACACTTACTCTAAGAACTACCTGACTTTCAGTGAAGACCCTCTCTTCACTGTTGTATGTCCTGCTATTTGCTTCCTGCATCCTCTCAGTCACTTCCACATCCTTTCCATACTCCTCTGATCCATCCTAAGCAGAAAATCCTTCATGCCTAACAAAATTTCTATTTAGGGCTTCTCCTTTACACCACTTAGATAGGTCCATTGTAGAGAATTTCCATATTTAAACACTCTATGAACAACCAAGCTACTAAATCAGCTCTTAATTCAGAGATGACACCTCTTTCCATTCAGAAGGATATCACATGTATATGTCCATGCAAATGCCTAAATTTTGGCATTTTTCGATGAGAATTTAACAGGTAGAACTTTCTGGAATTTGTTCTTCACAAATATTTACCCTGTCCTAGATAACACTTTCATATTTGCTTCATTTTTCTCAGACTTCAAAACTCTACAAACCTAGACTGTGAGCGGGAGTGCCACCTAAATTATTAAGTATGTTCAGAAATTGTTTTGCACTGATCTGTATAATACACAGGAGTTCACCAGGTGTTTGGGAAGCCTTTCTCCACTGAGGCACACTACTACAAATCCCTGAATTCTCAGGACCTTTGCCACTACCTGTCCTGAGGATGAAAATATGAGAATATACTGTAATTTAAGGAGATCACTATAAATACAAAAAAGCCAAGTTTAAGTTGAGCCATTGTGGCTATGAGGCCCTGCATTACATACATTAATAAACTCCAGACATTCCAGATCTGCTACTCTGAGGAAAAAGAGCAGAGACCTAGCTCATT